GGTGAACGTATCCTTTAATCACTTGCCCTCCAGAGGATCTACCCCCCTTCCTGACCAGGCCATTTTTTGCGATACGGCGCTGCATTACTTTAACGGACAATTGCGTGGTCATGCAACGCTGCACCCAAATGAAATTTATGTCCTTTTTTCTCCCCACAAACAGAGATTTCTTTTGATGGCATTTGATCGCCTCTGCATTTTTTATTTTTTGCGCTATAAACAAAAAATTAAATATTTGACTTTTTGCTATAAAACATCCAGTAAAAAAAAATGTAGGTATAAATTTAGACCAAAATTATTCTGCTACATATTTGCTAAAAAAAAAATCCCAACATGTGTACAATAATTTGTTTATGTGAAAGTTATAGCGTTTCCAAAAGGCGGTGTATATATAATGGGATTTGTATTTTTTTTACTAGTAATGGCGGCAATCAGCGACTTATAGTGGGACTGTGGCAGGCATTCTGACACTAGGGGGAACCGAAATGGTGTCACTGACACCAATACAGTGGTCAGTGCTAATAAAAAGCACTGTGACATGTATTGATTGTTCCAAACAAATGGAATTGTGAGGGAAAAAGGAGAGGTTCAAGAACTTACGGAAGACATTACAAGGCAGCAAAAAAACAGTAGGAAACAACTTCATGATAAATTGATTACAAGCCCATTAAGTAGTGGATGTATATGGATATTTATTTTTAGAGAATTGTTTGGTGTCACTTTGACTTGAGATGAACCAAGGACCTTCAGTAAAATGCTACTCAGAAAATGATGTGTGGTTTTTATTTAGAAATATTAAACACACTGTAGCACTAGAAGCTATAAAAGCATTTTCCGTATAAGTGTAAAGTGAGTGTGTTGTTAAATATTACCACTCTTGATATTTTATGAATTTACTGTGCTAAATTGTCCTGCCTTTTAGTTAAGAGTTTAGTACCAGCATAAATCACATGGCTTCAGTTATGAGTCGTGAAACATACAATCTTTAGTTTACTGTAAAAATGTTTTATTCATATAAAAATAAGTTGCCAAAATGTTACATTGCATTTACTTCCAGTTTTGACCATTTAACAGTAACTATTATGGAAAATTTACAAGACAAGTATAAGCAATTTCAGAAACTTGTGTTCTATAGCTCGTCTCTAAGCCAACTGACATCCTAGTTTAAAGCACTGATTAAATATTTAGAACAGTAAATGTGCTTAAAAAAAAAAAAAACTCACACACACAATCTTACATATGGATTAAACAGATCTTCTGCAAATAAATTGGGACACTTCAACCTAATAAACCCAAGATGCCATGAACTCTGCACACTGAAAATTACAATTTTTGTTTCAAAAGGTTTGGTTCCTGCCTGTGTCCATATGATTAAATAAAAGCATAAACAAAAAATAAATAAATACTACTTAAATAAATAAAATAGCATTTTGTTCCCTATACGCAAAATCTAAACTGCAATCTCCATAGTTTATTTCACGCTGTGAACTCACTGCTTACATCTGTACCGCTTGCAATTACATAATGGATGTAACAGAATATTTCTAAATTTCAAAATGAACAGGTTAGGAGCACATATAAAAAAATATAAAAACCACAATGGAAAAAGAAATTAACACTGTTATTACGGGCAAGAATATGCACAACACTTCAATGCACTATTGCATATTTTATGCACATTTTTCCTTTGCTGGAAAATGCATCATGTCAGCAGACCTATTCAAAAGTTGACTAATGCAGAAATGGGGAAAAAGCTGCAGCTTTTTTGTACTTTCATTGGCCGTGCGGCAATAATGTGATTGAGTTGTATTGCATAACTGCAGTATAGTGGGGTCACTGACCCAGCTGTACCTTTGACAGGGGTGTCTAAATCACAGGAGTTACAGAAAACAACTCAAGGCAAACAGATCAAGGATAAACATATACTAAAGAGGTCAACAATTCCACTTTTGTCAGCATATTCCTTGTCAGCACAGCCCGACTGGCCCACAGTACTAACTCTCTCCCTTAGTTAGTGCTGCTTACAGGGGATTACAATAAGCGGATATCAATTTTGATTGATATATTTAACGTAGCTGTATTTAGAAATACCTTTATGGATTTTGATTAAATGAATGACTACATAAAATGGTGTTTTGTTTGAACTGCATGGAGTTCAGATCTAAAAACAGACGTTTGCCCACACAAACGTCTTATATGTGGATGCACACTACAGAATTGTGTTTCCCAGTATAAGAATGCAGTAGAACTCAAAATGACAATTCAACACTGAATCACTTTTCCTGTATTAAACAAATTACAATAACCTGCCAAACAGGCAAAACTTTTCTTACAAGCAAGAACACCATACTGTATTACATCATTTATTTATTCATTAATTTTTAAACAAACTTTATTGAAATGTCAGACATTTCATAGAGTTCACTTGGCCCCTGCATGGTGCAAGGCAAAGTCTCGTGTTGCGGTGTGCTGAAAAAAAAAATATATACTTAGTAGTGCATGTACTACCTTTTTTCAGCACATTGTGCCAGCACACCACAATGCAGTGGTGTGATATGGGCACACAGGAGACAAGGCAATTTTGCCTTGTCATGCAATGGGTCTGCGCTGTACTAACTGCCCACAGCCGGTCCCACCACTTCTGGTGTGACTGGACCCTTAAAGGACTATAACAATCCCTGGCAGGACCACTCCACTAGATTAGATAAGGTATGAGATGACCCCAGGTCAGGACTGTATTCTCTGTTGACTTCCTTAATGAAATCTTAGCATGAGAAAACCAAGAAGGCTGCCACTCCTGTCCTCTTTTTAATTACTAGACTTCTGAATCTGCAGACATGCATACCCTTCTCTGGTTGTTACTCTAAAATATTTGAAGCCAGTGGGTCTGTTATGACACGCCATCTTTAATTTTACAAGCTTGCTGTGAAGCTTAGCTTGTACTTACTTTTCAAAACAAGTTTTACAGCCTTTAGCAAAATGACAGAAGCCTCTAGCACGCTCTTGAGGGTTACAGTATGGGTCTGCAGAAATAGACCTGTACAAGTCCAACTTGCACTACCATATTCCTGAAAGCGACTCAAAATCTCATTACTTATGTAAACCAGATAAATAACCAAAGTGTACAGTCAGCACAAAACTATGCTTACAGTGATCCAACATATTACTAGATAGAGAGAATGGAGTCTGAACATAGGAAATTATATACCAAAATGCGCTGCAACAAAATAAATAAAAATCTTCCCTATTGCTATTCTACAAATAAAACTAAACAATTCCTCACTACTGCATATATGCATCAATGTATATAGTTCAGCAAAAAAAAAAAAACAATCAATTGTGTTACAACTATTGATGGCCACACATGTATCAATTTGATCATTCATTGGGAATTGCAAACAAAATATTTGAATAAGTGAGTGAGCTTTTGATTGACTTAAACTTCATCAGAGAACTATGTTGCATCTTTCAATATTTTAATCAATGAGAAGAATCTCTTGTTTGTGATCACTCGTACCTAGATCAAATCACAACTCGATACATGTATGTCTAAGTTATCTGCTCCCTTTAAAATTAAAGAAGAAAAAAAAAAAAATTGGAAAAAAATCTCCAGTCAGCAGCACCTAGACTTGTCACTACAAAAACATTCTTAAAAAGCCAAAATAAAATACATTGGTTTTATGATTATGCTTTGCCTGATGAAAACAACTTGACAAGGAATTTTAGTTACTATGGAAATTTTTAGGAAACTGTGTAGATGCCTGGAAGTGTCTCTACCCACTATGGTCCCCTCGTTAAAAGACAAGTTTAGAATGTCTGACTAATAAAAGAAGAAATACAGTCAGGTCCCAATAGACCACACTGAAAAAGTAAAATCTGGAACAAAAAATCCCAAAAGAGCCTAAGAGCAGGAGGGGGTGTTCTATGTATCTCCTTTTAATTTGAATGCCTAGTCAAATAACATTATGGATACTTATCTAGATTCTTAAATAAATGGCATTATTAAAGTGTATTTACAACCATTTTTGTTTTGGCTAGTGTGGGAAATGGTTAAACTGTCAATTTTTTTTGCATTATCTTCACTGAGAATATTTCAATCAACTTCCTGTGCTAGTGAGGGGAATCTCTTGAATGGTGACACAGATTGCTATAAAAAAAAGGTACCAAAGCATTCCCACTCAATTAAAAGGTGGATTATATTGCTGTATATACCCCTGCTAGAGGGATTTCCTCTTGCTTCCTTTCCCAGTGACAAAAAAAAAAAATCTTGCCAGTGAAGAGACTGACAGCAATATATCCTGGCACAGGTTCTAGACTTTTTCTATGCAAAATTTGCAAAAGAGAATTACTTAGCTATTGACCATCTACATAGTTTTGCAGCCAAGGCCTGCCTCTCTCAGCTAGTCTTGTTTGCTCCCCACAACATCCTCTGTAATGTAGGCATACAAATTGGATTTAGAATGGCGGTGTGTATTAGCCTATACTGAACAAAGCTAAATATAGCCACTTACTTATAGCCACTATATGTTCTGATATATATATTTATGTAAAATCTAGCATGGGCAATATCACATGTAAACAAATGTGCCAATATAGTATGTCATAAATGTACTTCCTATATACATATATCCTATTTGTAGAAAGATTCGTACATAGTCCTATATATAATAGAATTTTCTATGCTATACAGTACATGTATAAAAACAATGCATTTTTTTACAGTTAAATTAAAAAAGCAAAAATAAAAAAAGGCAGCTTAAAACAAGTAAACAAGAAGATGTGTGAATGTCCTCAGTAGTTGTTTCAGCTGGTGGCTCTTGGTATACATATATATATATATATATATATATATATATATATATATATATATATATATATATATAAATAATATAAAAAAAAAAAAAAAGGAAGGAGGAGGAGGAACAAAAACCAAGCAGAATACTCTATATATAGGAGTGCAGACTGGTAAACACAGGCCGCAGCATCAGCTCATCACTCTTTTATAAAAGTTCTTTGAAGCCAAAGGATAAACCTGCTCCAAGTGAAAGTCCCAAAGCAAGGAAGAAGGTCATGAGAGCACCTGTGGTCTCACCCTCATGTGGCAGTACTTTCCTGGAACAGAAAAAAAAAAAAAAAAAAAAGTTACAGGACAGGTAAATTTAATTAGGAACACTCTGAGCTACTTTTAGTTCAAAAGAGCGATGGAGTAATTCAGCAATAGAATAATAGACAACTAATTCTGCAATTTCTTTATTAGGCCTCGTTCACGTGGTGCACTAAAGTGTACACCTGTGGAAGGCCATGTTTAACTGTACAGAGATGTACAAGTGTTCTGTGCTTCCCCTTTGCAGGCAATCCCACTGATGTCAATTGTGATGCAGCGGTTGGATGGACACAGCCACTGCTCCCAATTTGACATCCGTGTGGGTATATGTTCCCGAACACACACGGTGTAAGTTTGGGGATATGCACCTGCACCCACATGGATGTCAAATTGGCAGCAGTGCCTGTGTCCATGCAGCCACTGTTCCCAATTGACATTAATGGGACTGCCTACACAGGGAAGCATGGAACACTTGTGCGTCCCGTAGGGGTAAACACCACCCTCCATGGGTGTATGCTTTAGTGCACCCCGTGTGATCAAGGCATTAGAATTTAAAAAACCCATATACAACAATTTACTATTATAGAAAACAACATTTTACTTACTTGGGAGCCAAGCACATGGGTAGGGATACAAAATATCCATTGCTGACAGAAAAGAGGATCATGAAGATGATAAACCAAGCATCATTGTAGAAGAAGGTGGTAAGATACTGGCGATCATCAATGTTGCAGAACATGAAGAGAGGTATGAAGACAAAGCGGCTGGCAGCCAGCAGAGGTGTGTACATGCAGTCCGGACCAGGCTATGGACAAAACACAAGGACATCAACAAGATGTTGGTGGTTAATGAGGCAGCGAAGGCAAGACAACCAAACCAGTAAACACAAACTTGTAATAAAAAACAAGCATCATCTGCGCTCAGATCTACAGTGGAATAGAAAACGGGAGAATATGTATGTATATTATATCTATCTCCAAATATTGCTGGATGCAAGGCTCACTGAAATATAACCATCTATGGCACACAGACTACGGCAGCTCCTCACCAAGGATTAAGGAATTCTCTCACAGGCATGTAAAATAAGAAACGCAGGGCACCAGGTCAGTGTAGATAAAAACAATCACAATGCTTTATTAGGCTCACTCACAGAGAAAATCTATGGACTGCTCCAGTGGCCAGGACGGTTTCCTTTGTCAAGCAGCCTGGCAAAGGAGGCAGAGCCTCAGAGATGCTCTGCGGCCCACCCATCTGTTTGCCCACAGAACCTGTCAGACACACAGGTCAGTCAGCAGGGAACGAAGGAAGACGTCACCAGATTTCCATCCATGAGTGGGTCTTCATCTAACTCTGCAGCTGCTGTCAGTCTCGCTATATAGAACAAGCCACCACCACACACACCGTCCTGCCCACTGGAGCAGTTCATAGGTTTTCTCTATGTGAGTGAGCCTAATAAATCATTGATTGTTTTTATCTACACTGACCTGGCGCCCTGCTTTTCTTATTTTACATAGTGAAGGAAAGTGACTGATAGAAATTACTTATTAACCACTTCAAGTCCGGACACTTTCACCCCCTTCCTGTCCAGGCCAATTTTCATCGCTATCACAATTTGAATGACAATTGCGCGGTGATGCAAGTTTGTACCCATTTGAATTTTTTAGCATTTTTTTGAGACAGATAAAGCTTTATTTTGGTGGTATTTATTCACCACTGGGATTTTTATTTTTTTTGCTATATACCGTATTTTTCGCTCCATAAGACGCACCTGACCATAAGACGCACCTAGGTTTTAGAGGCGAAAAACAAGAAAAAAAAAATATTCTGAACCAATGGACTGCAGACACAGTACAGGAGATGACCAGAGACTGCGGACACAGTACAGGAGATGACCAGAGACTGCGGACACAGTACAGGAGATGACCAGAGACTGCGGACACAGTACAGGAGATGACCAGAGACTGCGGACACAGTGCAGGGAATGACCAGAGACTGCGGACACAGTGCAGGGAATGACCAGAGACTGGACACAGTGCAGGGAATGACCAGAGACTGCGGACACAGTGCAGGAGATGACCAGAGACTGCAGACACAGTGCAGGAGATGACCAGAGACTGCAGACACAGTGCAGGGAATGACCAGAGACTGCAGAAAGTGCAGGGAATGACCAGAGACTGCAGACAGTGCAGGGAATGACCAGAGACTGCAGACAGTGCAGGGAATGACCAGAGACTGCAGACAGTGCAGGGAATGACCAGAGACTGCAGACAGTGCAGGGAATGACCAGAGACTGCAGACAGTGCAGGGAATGACCAGAGACTGCAGACAGTGCAGGGAATGACCAGAGACTGCAGACAGTGCAGGGAATGACCAGAGACTGCAGACAGTGCAGGGAATGACCAGAGACTGCAGACAGTGCAGGGAATGACCAGAGACTGCAGACAGTGCAGGGAATGACCAGAGACTGCAGACAGTGCAGGGAATGACCAGAGACTGCAGACAGTGCAGGGAATGACCAGAGACTGCAGACAGTGCAGGGAATGACCAGAGACTGCAGACAGTGCAGGGGATGACCAGAGACTGCAGACAGTGCAGGGGATGACCAGAGACTGCAGACAGTGCAGGGAATGACCAGAGACTGCAGACAGTGCAGGGAATGACCAGAGACTGCAGACAGTGCAGGGGATGACCAGAGACTGCAGACAGTGCAGGGGATGACCAGAGACTGCAGACAGTGCAGGGGATGACCAGAGACTGCAGACAGTGCAGGGAATGACCAGAGACTGCAGACAGTGCAGGGAATGACCAGAGACTGCAGACAGTGCAGGAGATGACCAGAGACTGCAGACAGTGAAGGGAATGACCAGAGACTGCTGACCTTTGGCGAGGGAGGGGGAGCGGGTACCTGAATTTGACAGGTACCCGCTCCCACTTCTGCGGAGTTGTCTTTCCCTCTTCTTCCCGGGCTGGCTTCTGTGACAGCGGGTGCCCACTGCGCATGCGCGAGAAGCGCTGCGCTTTCTGAATGGCCCGGAGCCTTCTGGGACCTGTCATGTGTCCCAGAAGACACCGGATCATTCACAAAGTGCAGCACATGCGCAGTGGGCACCCGGCTGTCACAGAAGCCAGCGCGGGAAGACTGTGCAGCGCTGGAGCGAGGAACAGGTAAGGCCCTGCAGGAGAGAACAGCTGAGCGGCCGGCCCGGTATTCTGACGTGGTGGCGGCAGAAATACCGGACCGGCCGCTTTATATTCGCTCCATAAGACGCACTGACATTTTCCCCCCTTTTTTGGGGGGAAAAAAGTGCGCCTTATGGAGCGAAAAATACGGTAAATGAAAGTCCAAAAATTTGGGAAAAAAAGTGTTTTTCTTATAAAATTTTGCAAATAAATAATATTTAATCATAAACCTTGGCCAAAATTTATTCAGTTATCTTTTTAGTAGGAGAAAAAAAAAAAACCCAAAATGGTTTATAACCAAATCAATTATAATTTTTTTTACATTTATTTTATTTTTTTATATTATTATTTACATTTTTTTTTTTTTTTAACATACTGTCACCCTAGCAGTAGTGTCACCATGTACTACTTGTGGGGAGTGATAATTTTTTTTTTACACTGATTGCCTTTACACCCATAAAGGCTGTACAAGTAATCATTTCTCCTTCTCTCTGGCTGCATTCTTGCAGCCATTGAGAAATAGTGTGAGCTGAGATTGGTCACAGCTTGTCACATGGTACAAGGCTGTTGTGAATGGCCCTGTACCATGTGACCTCTGTGATCATTCACAGATTTCACACGTAGTAAGCAATGATGTCAGAAGTGACATCTTGCTTACTACTCTGCATGTGATCACTGATTGGCCAATCAGTGATCACATGATCGGGACCTCGCACAGAGGTCCCGTACGACTATCAGTGTTCCATTGTGTCCGGAGGACACAGCGGGCACCGAATCGTGGTGCTGCATGCTCCCAGGGAGCGTGCACAAGCAGGGGGCGGGGAGGTCGTTTATATACAATGGCCGGACGGGAGGTGATTAAACAAAGCAGTAAACAAACGGGACTCTGAATAAGCCATTTGTATGAAGGTACAGAATTATTTGACACCCTACAGTAACAATCCATTTGATGCAATAATTGAGAAACCAATTCATCCCAAACTACAACGTTTGATTGACATGATCGGCTTTATTCAATAAAGTTCTTATTGTAGAGCGCTGGTTCTTACATGTAGCAACTATTCTACATTCATTGTACTTGAGTCAGACCAGTACAAGGTAGATTCTAACTGGTTCCTATGGACAACTACACAGACATTGTGATCTTACCCAGTTAAAGTCAGATCTGTAAAAGATTAAACTCATGTAAGTTGCTATGAGTTACTCTTTTTAATACTAACCCCTTGACGCCGACGTAACACAAATATGCGGCCTCACGGACCTGGGCTTTTTTCCGTGGGGCCGCATATTTGCGTACCTGTCTTTGTGTTGGGAGCGCGCCCCTCAGCGCGCTCCCAGCACCGAGACCGCGGTGTCACTGAGAGCACCGGGTCCCGTTCTAACGATCGGGACCCGGGACTCCCGGGTCACATGATCGCTGTGATAGCCTCTGATTGGCTATCACAGTGATCAGTCACTGTGCAGCGCGGCCCCCTTGTTTTTTTTCTCTCTCTCTATGAATGGAGAAGAGAGATACATTGTATATCTCGAACTCCTGTCAGAGAAAAGAAAAAAAAAGATAAATAAATAAATTTTAAAAAAATAAAAGAAAAAATAAAAAAAAAATACCTAGATCAAGGTTTGATCCAGTTCAGTGCCAGGGTTAGTCTTTAGGTCAGGGTCAAGGTCAGGGTCAAAGGTCAGGGTCAGGATTTTAAAAAAAATTGGTATCAGTGTCAGTTAGTGTTAATGTCAGTGTCAGTTAGTGTTAGTGTGTTTCAGGTAAAAAAAAAAGACAAAAACAAAATGCGCACTATGGTTTCTGGGCTGTACTACGGGTACAAACAACAAATAACATACACATATATGGTATCGCTGCGATCGTCAAGAGCTGGAGAATTTATTTTGGGTTGCTCTTTGGTGGTAGGTTATGGTCATAACAAGAAACACATAGCTAAATAAAAAAAAAAAAAAAAAAAGGATTTTTTTTTACTATTTTTGGCCAGTTTTCCTTTGATAATAAAAAAAAAAAAATCAGGAGATATCCATTACCATTTACCACCAAATGAAAGCCCAATTTGTCCTGAAAAAATCAAGGTATAATCCACCTGGATGTGCAAAGTAGTTGTGATGATATGTACGGTTTTGCTATCACATGTCAACGGTGCAGAATTGTGCTTAGGCCTTTAGATTTGTTTTACCCTTAGGGGTGAAGGGGTTAAGGAAGGACATGCAAGCTGATACAGAACAGGTAAGAACTTACCCACAGAGTTTTAGAAGTAAGGCTACGACCAATCCAGTCCATCAAGTTAAAAAGCAAAAAGCAGCAAACAGGATTGAAAAATTTGCCTAAAATAGGAAAACATGAATTAAAAGCACAGATATTACAAGAAGTGCTACAATATTGAAATAAATTCTAAGAGAAAAAAAAACTCACTCCAGTTGTCATTATGTTTTATATTCGTGCCAACTTTGGCAGTGATTGCTGGAAACACTGACAACGTCACTCCAAATGTGAGTACTATCGTCACAGCCATTACCCAGATCTAAAGGAGGGAAAAAACAAAAAAAAAAAAGACTCAGCTTGCCTTAAATTTCCCAATTTCACCTCCCAATAAATCAGCCCCAACAGTTTCATCATTAGAAATTGAAGGGCAAGTGTGACAACACAGGGGGGGAGAGAGAGAGAGAGGCAGTGTGTGTGTGTGTGTGTGTGTTTCCACCCACATACACAGTTTAGGGTTTAACTGCATCTCCTCCACTTTCATTGAATGGCCCAAGTCTTCTCACAGTCCCCAAGAATGAATAGTTTATTCCCTATGATAGTCAACATGAGGTGTTTGCATATCGTTCTATCTCAAGAGTCTCTTCTCCAGGGAGAATACGTTTAATGTTTGTGGCCATTCGAGGTAACGAAGGTCCTCCAGTCCCCTTATTAGCTTTGCTGACCTTCTCTGGATGCTTTCCTGTTCCAGCAAATTCTTCCTGAGGACTGGTGAACAGAAATGGCTGCATACTCAAGATGTGGCCGAACCAGGGTTTTATAAAGTGGTATGATTGTAGTTTTCTCTCCTGAGTAAATTCCCTTTGCAAACATATATATCTACAACAAAGTCAAGGGGTTGTGAAATCAGGCTTTATTATTAACCTGTTCACACCTCTCCATGGGTGGGCCTTGATATGTAAACAAACCTGTGCTGAAAGCATGTACCCTGTGAGCTCCTGGCACCTAACGGAAAGCTCCAGATCCCTACTAGCAATCAGGAGCTTTCAAATCATGTGACCGCTTTGACAGCCAATCACAGCGGTCACATGATCATTAACCCCATCCCTTAAAAAGGCAAGGAGGCACCAGCATTAGGGGCTTAATTACTAATTATTACAACTATACTCCATAAAATACTTATTTTTAACTATCAGTAACAAGCTGTTAACCAAGTCATATACATTACAGCACAAAAAGCAATGTGCCAAGCAAAACAAATTAAAAAAAAAAAGGGAGGACCTGTATTGTGGAAGCGATTAAAAAAAAAAAAAAAAAAAAAAAAAAAAAAAAGAAGGTTACCAATTTATCATGCCTTCAAGGTGTCTCTGATGAGGCAGCCATCATGGTAGAGAAGCAAGGCTTTGCTCTCTCATGTTAGAGCTTTGCCCCCATGACTGGTGGGATAATGGTGAAGGTATAGCGGGAGAGATGAAGTACAACACTGCGTACACTAGAGGTCATGGAGAGAACACTGGGAGGCATTAAGAAACACTTGAGGTTTCAAGGGAACACAGGGGGTCTGGCTGTTAACATGTGGCTGTATTGATCGGACATTGCTAAACTGGCATGCTAGCCCTTTAAGACAGCGCTTTGGACTGGCTAACAGAGGAAGCAGGAAGCTGGCGGTTGCACCCAGAGGGAAAGCCCGGGCGTTGGAGTTTGGAACAGGTGGGGTGTGACAGTGCCTTAGATGTTCACATAACATGAGTACCTAGGCACAGTCACATGTCTGAAAGAACACTGCTATTTTTCTAAGACATTTAAAAACAAAAACCATAATAATAATAAAAAAAATAAAACCCTCAGACTTACAGATGATAGTGATTCTAGGAGCCTTTCAGGAGAGCACCTGGAGAGAGCGCAGCTCCACCCATAATTGCAGGAAACACTGCAATTAAAAGATCTGCCTCTTCCACCATGCCCTCAGTTATAGCCAAGTAACCTCTAACATGCTGGAAAACAAAACGGAAACAAACACCATGTCAACCACAGACATAAGTCACAAAAGATAAAGAGGGGAATTAGATGCTGCTGTCCTGAAAGGCTCCTAGAAATACCATCACCCGTAAGTCTGAGGTTTTCTCTCCTTGCCTTTCAGGACAGCACCTGGAGAAGATAACCGAGTAACTTACTCCTACGGTGGGACCACTACTTGCAGACTTTCCTGCCAAACGACTGGTCCGCTGCAGCCAACAAGTCCACTCTATAATGCCGAATAAATGTGGAAAAGCTGGACCACGTAGCTGCTTTGCAAATCTGTTCCAGAGATACACCAGCCCTTTCATCCCAAGAGGCCGCCACCGATCTTGTGTGCTGCTACCCCTTCAAGAGGCTCTTTGCCTAATGCCTCGTAGGCTTCTTTGATGGCCTGTCTGAGCCATCTGCCTAGAGTACTTTTGGAGGCTCTTTCCCCTTTGCGATCACCCATAAAGAGTATGAACAAGGAATTTGACTTACTAAACTTCTTCAACACCCCCAAAAATCTCAGACATCTTTTATCACCCAGTGTGCGAAATGCCTCTTCCCCCGGATTAGCTGGAACTGTATAGAATGTAGGCAACACTATTTCCTGCAAACGATGAAAGGATGAGGAGATCTTTGGATGAAAACCGGGATCCATTCTAGTGACCACTTGGTCCAGAAAAATAACTAAAAAAGGTTTAGAAATTGACAGCACCTGGATCTCACTTATCCTACGAGTTGACAAAATGGCAATTAGGAAAAAAGGTTTTTAGAACTAAATTTTGAACCAAAGCTTCCTCTAGGGGCTCAACACAGTTTCCTTGTGAGCCCTCGTAAAACTAAAGACAAATCCCATTTGGGAAAAACTTTAACTGAAACTAGCCTGGACCTGGCCAAAGCTGTAAAAGAAAAAAAAATTTAATAATTAGTGCCTCCTGGGATAAACTTCTCTCCAGGAATGCTGAAAGCTGCTACTTGAACTTTAAGGGTACTTACCGCTCGCCCCTTCTCCAATTCTTAATGGAGAAAAAAATTCCAGGTCTGACATGACGGTTTATCTGGAAACCCTTCTCTGAACACCAGGAACTAAAGCTCTTCCAAACCTTCATATATAATCGCCAGTCGATTCTGCGAGCCCATTAAGTAAATGGCTGAGAGGGAGGCCAACTTCTTTTCCGCCCAAGGACAGGATCTCTAGTGCCAACTTCAGCAGTCCCCCTGCTCCTTGTGGCCCCCTGCCTTGAAATGTAAGCCACTGCTGTTGTAATGCCCGAAGGACCTGAATGCAATACCCAGTCGCTGACTGCTGAAAGAAAAAACCCAGTTGGATGGCTTTCAACTCTCTCCAGTTTGAGGACTTCCTGGCCTCCACTCTGGACCATGAGCCCTGTGCCGTCTGGTCTTCGAAGTGCAGATGAGCCTGAGTCGTCTGAAGATTTAACAGCACCTGCACCTTGGTTCTCGTAAACACAAGTAGGTCATCCAAATATGGCACACCAAAATCCCCCTCAACCTCAGAGGCTCTAGTGCTTCTGTCATGACCTTTTGGTGAACACCCTTGCCTTGGAGAAGATGACAGGCCAAAAGGGTAGTGCCCTGAATTGTAGGTGCCAGATAGATGTTCCCCTTTTGACCGCCAGTAGGCGGAACTTTTAGAGAAGACTGTGCTATCGGAATATGCAGATAAGCATCCCCGCGGATTGACGGTTGCCCTAAGGCATCTCGGGGATAGCAACTTCCTTACTGAAAAAATGTATCCATGCGAAAGTGCTTGTACCTAATGGATTTGTTCAGTATTTTCAGATCCAAACCATACAAGACCTCCCCGAGGGCTTTTGGACTAAAGAGATGTGAGAGTAGAACCCCCGACCCTCTTGTCCCTTGGCACCTGAATGAAGACTTCATGCTGCGTCATTTCCCTCAAAAAGGGGAGTCATTGCTGAGGCCATCTCCTGACTCCTTGGGAGACTGGTTACACAAAATCTGGTCGGTGGGGTCTGGGAGAACTCCATGGTATACCCTTGGGCCAATGACAATGACAAAGGCACTTGATGTTGTTTATTTCCATTGTGAAAAGAAGGGCCGAAGCCTCCCTCCCACTGGAAGAGAATTATCATTGGCTCTTGGCCGGTCGCTCTGGGGGTCTGCAGAGCACTCCCACTTTACCCCCATTCTTTTGAAAAACTCCCATTTTCTTTTCTGGGTCAAACAAATACCAGCATGTCTTTGAGACATGGGAGGAAACCCATACAGGCACAGCATGCAAACTCCAACCAGCGACCCTAGTGCCCGCTAGGGAGCAGTACTAACCACTTAGTCACTGCACTGTCACATGCCTGTAATGCTAAAAAAGGCAAAAATTCTTCCTGACCGGCTTTTTCTTATTTTTCGACTGGAAAGCCTTCTTTTCCGCCGTTCCATCCAGCACGGTTTCCAGCTCTTAGGCCAAAGAGCACGTCTCCCAAAAGGGAATCTCACATAACTTCACTTTGGATGCTGAGTCCCTCGACCAGGTCTTAAGCCAGATGGTTCTCCTTGTTGAGATGACCAACTCCGAGGACCTGGCCGTCATCTTAATAGACTGTGCCGATGCGTCAGTCAAATATTTTATGACCTTTAGGAGTACTGGGAACGACTCCAAAGCTCTCTCCTGGAGGTCCCTGCGTCCATGATGATTCCTCAGCTGATCTAACCAGCATTCCAAATTTTTCGCCACCACTGTGGAGGCCCTTGCCGGCTTGAGGTTGGTTAGGGAAGAGTCCCATGCTATTTTAAGGCGAAAGTCTGCCCTTTTATCCGTTGCATCTTTCAGGATGCCCATAACCTCAAAAACCAAAACAATGCGCCTCAAAACTCGAGAAAAAAGGCCGCACCCAAGCTCGGTTCCGTGTACTGACAGCTGGACTTTCTCCGCCTGAATTTCAGCGTCGTATATACATTGCTTTCAGCAAGTTATCCATCGCCTCTTTAAAAGGGTGGTCTTTGCAAAATTTTTACATCACAGGACAATTGCGCATTGAATTAACAACCACAAACAAGCCATTTATTGACGCTGCCCTCAATGCAATCCTATTTAAATGCCACTATGCAGTTTGCGGTCACCGGTGCGGGGATTTGAACTCAGGACCTCATGCTTGTAAGCATAGGGATTTACCACCATCAGAGCTATTTGTTTATATGTTGGCGCACTTTCAACCTGTTCTTCACCCTCCTCTTCTTCTGAATCTCTGAGGAATAGAAGAATGCTCTCTCTCTCTCCTTCTGATTCGCCGATCCCAACCTGGCCTGAGGCAGGCGGCAGAGGACTGGACAAGATGCTCTGTTGCAAGCCCTGTTGAAGCATCGACAGTTTATCTAACAAAGATCAAACTGACCCCAGCGTTTCCTCTTTGACGGAAGCAAACCTGTCCCTGCATTGCTGTGAAGATTCCTCTTTCACTAAATCTGCCACACAGGCTCTACGTCGCATCAGGCTCCCATCCAGCCGGACCCTGACCTCCCCTCCCCTTTTACTGCCATAAGAGAGAGAGAGTGCGTGAGGAGACATAGCCCACAAAACCCCTAAGTCATCCACCTGAGCCCTGGAGCAGAGCGGAGTCACCTCTGTGCCAAGGCAGCAGGTTTCTCAATAGGGCAGGCAAACCATAAAGAAAGACAACAAAGCCCCCTGTAAGAATAAAAAGCACCCCCATTACCTAGGCTAGGGGTGTGTACGATGCGCCTGCTTCTGCCGCTGGACCCTCTGCCTCCTCCATCCTGCAGAGTGCACAGCTTTGCTGAGACCTGTGGTCCTCTTGAAGTTCCCGCCGGTCTCCAGAATGCTGGTGAGCCAGAACTGGAAGCACCCATTGACCTGCCTCTTCTCCTTACGTTCCAGTGGCCAGAACCAATGCCGCCACGCCCCCGCCTACCAGCTCGGCGTCCCCCGCCGGCCGGGCCTGCAAGACACCGCAGGAAGCCGCCTGATGGCTACCCTAGACCGGGTCCCGGGAGACCCGCTCCTTTCCAAGCCCATAGACACGACAGGGACTCCCTGGCTGGCCATCGCTCCAGGAGACAGAAGGCATCGGAACCCCCCCCAACCACCGGAGGAAGGAGCTGGGCTAATCCACACATACACCTTCTGCAAAGTAAAGACGGACTGCCTGCCCCCCCCGGAGTCCAATCCAGGTTCCTGCAGCGCTTCCACTATGGTCAGAGAAAACACTATAACTGAGGGCATGGTGGAAGAGGCGGATCTTTTAATTGCAGGGTTTCCTGTGATTATGGGTGGAGCTGCGCTCTCTCCATGTGCTGTCCTGAAAGGCAAGGAGAGAAAAAACACCCTTCTCCTTTGGCCTTGAAAGGGTAGTGCTTAGGCAAAATTAAATATAGATATAAAAACAGAAAAAGATGGTAAACCTCCAAAAACAGGAACTACTGACATATACATCTGCCTCATCAAAACTCTTCTCTGGCAACAGAAGTTTGAGAGATCAGACACATTCCTCTCATCTCTGCATACACTGAAAAGGCTGTAATTGTACCCACATTGTGCTGTAATAGAATACAGCAGGGAGTGATTCAATTCCACCCCCAGATCAGGGGTCTTCCAGATTACACAAGAGAAATTTTAAATGACCAACAACGTATGGTCCCTGATATCAATCAGCTACCACCCATGCCTTTCTGTATACTATTTTTTGTGATGACAGCTTGACCTGTATTAAAGAAGTATAGCCAAAGCTTTTTTGGCTATTCTTCTAAGGATCACAGGAGTGCAGTTCGTTCTGCACTCCTGTGATGCGTTTTCAGCCAACACCGCACTAAAGCCCGCTGTCGGTTGAGATCACAGAGCCAGTTCAGGCTTTACAGTCAGGATCCACCCAGTTGCCTGGACTGACAGCTGGCTCAGCCTCTCAGCAAGCCGCTGAGAGCATGAGCTAGCCGTTCCCATCCCCTCAACAGCCCAACACTCCAGTGAGCGCTGGAGAGGAACAGCAGACAGCAGTGACCGACAACCACCAACTTTCAGCAGCTTGAAGGCAGAGCGAAGCGATCAGCAGTGTTGATCACTCGGTTCTCAGTCTGGAGCGAGCAGGGAAAAGATTGAGCATCGGACCAATACGACATATACCTAGACGAGTAAATTTCCCCCCCTCCACAAATCCCATATTTCGCTTTTAAACGTGTGCAAATGATTTATTGTTACACAGACATTTTACACAGACATTAATGATTCATGAAATACTTGCCTTTCTTAAAATAGTGCAGATTGACACAGTGTGTTTCTCTTCCTCTACACCACCAGCTTCTGCCTCTTTTAGCAGTAACACAGCTTTCTTCTGTCCTGCATCTCCATTTTCCTCTCCTAAAGGAGTAAATATAATTATGTAATTGTGCTAAAAATAACAAAATGGTCTCTCTGTACAACTGTAAAAAAAAATAAAATAAATAAGACACCAAACCTTGATGTAACAATTCTGTTTTTGTTTCCATCTCATAACTCTTTGAACTGTTTCTGTTGGATTTAGAAAGATGATACTGTGCAAAATCCTAAAGGGAAAAAAATAAAGATGATATAAACCAAATCACAAAATTTCATGGCAAAGAATCCAAATCCACAGACAAAACACTTACTAGACGAGGAAGCAGAAGGTAGCATATAATTGAAATGGAAGTCCCAACACAAGGGGTGATGAAATAACCCAGAGCAACAGTCTCATGATCCGCACCACCTAAAAGGATGTAGAAGTAGGGTAGAAAAGCAATCAAGTTTAGAGACTAAAGAATATATTAAGAGGCACATACATTGATATACACTCATTAAGAAAACAGCAAATCAAGAAATGAAGGATATCTAAACAAAAGCACAAACATAATGCACAGCAGCTTACAAGTCCTTGTACGTGATGGTTGCTTTGTTTTTTTTTAGACTAAAGAACATTTTCGGCAAGCACAGACAATACCTGCTGGTCTTGCCAGAAATGTGTCCTTGTTGCTTCGTTGTGAACGGAGCTGAAATCCCAAAATAGTATTATCCTCCTTCCAAGCTACCTTCTGTAAACAACCAATTCCCTTGCCCCCACGTAATAAAGTTGAAGAGGAAGACATGTTTGTAGTTCAAATTGTGAGAGCATTGCAATCTAGTGACAACTTTGGCTGCCTCTGCAACTACTGTGAAGTGAATAAGTGAAGACACCATAAAGGACAGGGGCTCAAAATTACAAAGCAGCACCTATCGCTTTAAGAACTGCAGTAAAATACCTTTTACCGTTTTTTCAAGATTTTTTTGCAATTCACTAAAAATACACACACTACTAATACACTGCATGAGCAATTTTATGAAGTGATGCAGTATTTTAGTAGTGAAAGCTAGCGGTGCTTTAACACCCGTGGTAGCCACCATCCTTATGCAGTAAACAACATGGTTGTTAACCACTTGCCCTCCAGAAGTCTTATCCCCTTCCTGACCAGGCCATTTTTTGCGTTACGGCGCTGTGTTACTTTGAATGACAATTGCGCCGTCATGCAACGCTGCACCCAAATTAAATTTACATCATTTTTGTCCCACAAAAAGAGCTTTCTTCTGGTGGCGTTTGATCGCTCACATGGTTTTTATTTTTTGCACTATAAACAAAAAAACCGACAATTTTGAAAAAAAAAAAAAACAAAATTTTTGACATTAAACATGTCCAATAAAAATTAAAAAAAAAAAAATCAAATTTTGTCATAAATTTAGGGCAAAATGTATTCTGCTACATGTCTTTGCTAAAAAAAAAAAATCTCAATATGTGTAAATGAATTGGTTTACAAACGGCGGTATATATACTGGAATGGTTTTTTTTTTTACTAGTAATGGTGGCGATCAGCGACTTATAGCGGGACTGCTGCGGGCATTCTGACACTGGGAACTGACTTGGTGTCACTGACATCCCTAGTGACACCAATACAATGATCAGTGCTAATAAAAAGCACTGACACTACTAATGGCACTGGGCAGGAAGGGGTTAACGTGGGGCCATAAAAGGGTTAACTGTGTGCGGTTTCACATTATGTGCTGTGTGTGCTTTCAACTGTAAGCACACTGCTTTGTATGGCTCTGCTATGCAATCAGAGTGCAGGAGCTGACAGGGGAGTGAACTGCATTGTTTACATACAGTTCTCTCCTTCGTCGGTAATAGACGGTCAGCAGGTGCCAGCGAGTAATCACTGGCCGGGACCCGGTGATTGACAGCTGAGGCCGCGAATGAAGGTGTGGGTAGGGCGCGCATGTCCCCCTACCCAGAACTGCAAAATCACGTGTGTATATACACACACGATTTTGCGCACCCGCGCCACCCTCTAGCAGTATTTCTACTATAGGGCAGCCTGGAAGCAGTTAAGTTCTATTGGCCACAGCACGTGATTTTGCGCACCCATGCTGCCCTGTAGCAGTATTTCTGCAATAGGGCGGTTAAGGAGAGCAGGCGGCCGCAACCATCCAGTATATATAGATCATAATTTTTTTAAAGGAGCAGGTGGTCACTGTGTCCTTAACAACCATGACTCATTTTGCTGTCAGCAGGGTTTCCCTGACAGTAGAACGTAAACAAAAGAATTGCCAATATAAAAAAGAATGCTGTGGAGTTCTGAGTGTGTACAGAACACCCCATGAAAATGTAATTTCCTGCTTGTGTGATTGGCTTACTGATTTTCTCAGAAGTCTGCACTAAGATACAAGTCAGATTCCATACTTCCTATGGGAAATCACATCTAAAGGGATGTAGACACTGCAATTTTCCTCAGTGCCCTGCAGGTGCAGCAGCTGATTGATAAATCAGTCTCGCCCATATAGATGCACTCTGCGCATGGACACAGACAAACATACATCTACTTCTTCAGAACAACAAAAGGTAGGAATCTGCAACAAAGTCTGTAAAAATCCTTCAATGTACATTGGTCACCCAGAGGGGAATGTTTATTTCTCAACAAAAGTAAAGTTACTGTTTTAAAGTATAAGTAGAAAGCACTTTATTACAAACACTGCATAATACTTACTTGACATTGACAGTATCATAGCCAAAGCAGCAAACATTCCAGCCATTCCTTGACCACTAAGGAACATGCTGCTATACTGCTGAGGGAAGAGAGTCAGAAGCCCAAATAGACTACCCTGTAGAATCGCACAAAAGGCTGCAGTGTTGGTGAAAGGGATAAGACAAAAAACAAAGAACAGAATTAGAATATATACACAAGATGATATTCAATTAAAATTAAACCTGTGCCAAGACTATGCCTTTTAAATAGTTTATACGTTCTGAACAAGCAGTACAAGTCTTTATTCACCTTTAAAAGAGATGCTGAAATCTTTGTTCCTAACCTGTTACTTTCTAATGCAACAAAATCCTGGCCATCCTGCCAGCCCTTTAATGTGAGCAAAATTAGGTGTTTCTAAGCTGTCAAAAATGGCCTGAAACCTGAATTCATACAAGCCTTGTTCGCTGCCCAACAGACCAATAAATAGGATTTTTGTACTGTAAAATCCCTTTCTTAGAAGGACATAGAAGTCTTTTTACCTTTGGGTTATACTGCCACCTACAGGAGGACTGGACATTGGCAAACATAAAACACTTTAAGACCTGGCCATGATAACCCCTGATACAACAGCATGCCTGTTTTGTAGCAAGCAATAGCAAGAAGCAAGATCAAAAACAAAATCCTATTTTCTCTCTCATCATTTCAAGGGCACACTTACAATTGGCATGCCCAAAAGCAGTTCAACTGAAGGGTGGGCAACAGCAAACAACTGGTAAAAGGTTCAATGTAAGCAAAATGAACTAGGGACTGCCTGCAACTCGAAAGCCACCTAAATAACCAGCGCATAAAGCTTGCACCTGTTGTGCCTGCCAGCCCCACCTGGTAACAAGAAAATGAGAACAGGACCAGGTAATCTAGCATGGGGAACAATGCCTGGTGCCACAAAGAGCAAGAGAATACATAATTAGCCTATTATTTGGCTTACCAAGTCTCAGGACAAAGAAAAAAAAAAACACTTAAATTACAGCAGAGCATTTGGAAAGTCTTTCCAATCAAGTCTGAAGAACACAAGTAGGAAAGACCTAGATCCGGGAGTATAGGTTCCAGTGAACATCAGAGCATTTCCATGTTACTGTCAGGGGATCCTGCACCACAAAACAAGCCTGTTCAGCATGTAGGGGACCCAGGGTAACAGAGTCCCCATCTGACATCCACTACCTGCAACACAGGTCCTGATATGCACCTAGATGTGTGGACCTCTCCCTTATGTGTAACCTTATTTTTATCATCCATTGAGAGACACAGGAATGTAGTAATTCTTGCACATTTTGGACATCCAAAAGCAGTCCAACTGAGATGTGGGCAACAGGCACTGAGAGATCCAACAGATTTCAAAAATGTTTCTACTAGTAGTATCTGAAGAAATCAATAATAGATATTAAAAATATACAAATATGGAAATTGTCAAGACTAAAGAAAAAGGACAGTAAGGCTCAATGTAGGTCAGATGTAGCTTCAAAATAGAACCTTTAAGAGAACATTTACCAAGAAAAAACGATGAGCCTCAACTAAACGTAGACAAAACAATAATGTACCATAAGTCCCGGTCACACTGGATGCGAATTGGCATGCGATTTGCAAGCCATGCGACTTGCAAATTGCATACCAAGTCGCACCCTATTGTCCACAGTTAGGAGTGGTCATATCGGTGCGGTTCTGACTTGGTTGCAGCCGCACCAATTTCTAAAGTAGTACATGCACTACTTTTAGTGCGATTTCCAGACATCCAATATCCTCTAATAACAGGCTAGAATGCACTGCAAAGTATCATGAACACCTTGTAACGCTGAGTAATAAGAACATGCTGAAATACAGGCTTCTTTAGGAGAGGCAGTGAAGACTGAAACAGAGATGGCAATACAGGCTACAATGCAGAGCCCAGTGCCTGAAGATCACATTCCAGGCTTACAATTTTCAGTTCAGCGGGGACCAGGCATGGCCTCCAAAGTTATTGCCAAGGGCATGCCAATCCAGATAACTGCTGGCTATGGACTATCGCAAGTAGAAAAGACATGGTGGCGCCACTCTGAGTGTAGATAGTATAAAAAGCAGTTAATCATAAAATGCACTCACAAGAGTAGATTATTAAAAGCATGTCAGGAGGAATGCTGGTCCGGTGGAGCTGATCGTCCTATGTGGCACTCTTGGTATATCCCCTGGTGTCCAGGGCTCGGGGAGTAGCAGAGAGGCGCAGTGGGGCTCAATTGGATGGCGTCACAGTACGGACCAGGTTTCCAAGATGGCGCTCGTTCGGAGCATGCACGCTCCTTCGTCAGGCCGATGAAGCCCTGGCACCACCGGAGCGGCGGGGATACATAGGTGCCGCATAGAACAATCGGCTCCACCGGACCATCACTCCTCATGACATGCTTTTAATAATCTACTCTTATGAGTGCATTTTAGGATTAAATGTGCCTGCTTGTAATACTATCTACACTTAGAGTGGCGCCGCTGTCTCTCTTTTCTACCTGCATATAGGAGTATCTACAAGCTCTTACAGCCAGCTACCTCCTCCTACAAGCCCACATACCCATAAGTCTTCCATTAAAGATGGACTTGGATGGCAGTCTCACATAGACCTTCTACTAATATATCCACCCATGGTCCATCCTTTATAGGGGAGATGATCCAGTGCTCCCAATCTATCTCTACATAGACTATCTCAAGCAGCTTTTTTCTGACATTTTGATGGAAAACATCAAAAAGAAAAAACAAAAATTCTGAGCATTGTTAGGGCTCGTTCACACTAGGCTGTTTTGCCAACGCTTGCCAAACGCCCCTATAGCGTTTGGCAAGCGTTGGTCCGGTGTTTGCCGAGCGTTATTAACGCTCGGCAAACGCTCCGCAAACGCCGCATGCGCGGTTTAGCGGCGGTTGCTAGGCGGTTGCCGAGCGTTAATAACGCCCCACAAACGCCTATAATGCAGTTTGAGTGGTGGTTGTTACCGCTCCGCAAACGCCCCGCAACCGCACCGCAAACGCCGGCCGGGCGTTTGCGGAGCGGCACCATAGACAAGAATAGGAGGCTTCAAAGCCTCCTGACTCGTCCAGAGGCGTCCGTTTTGCCGCGACGCAAACGCTCCCGTTAGAAACAGCACCATGTGTTGTAATGTGCAGAATTGGCAGAGGCGTTTGGGAAGCGGTAAAAAACGCTTACCAAACGCCTCTCTGCCGCCTGCACACAAGGCTAGTGTGAACGTAGCCTAAATGAAGAAAAAAAAAAAATATATATAAAATAAAAAAGCAAAATTACAGAGTTCTCAGCAGAGCTGATGAACCTCCTAGGACAGCAACTAAGGCATGATAGTTGAAGGCAGGGTTATACGGGAGCTGGCTTAATGTTTTTTGTTTGCCAGTGTCCAAATCTCCTTGAGGTGGGAGAATTAACCAAAAGTCTAAGTATTATATTCCTCGGTTCCTTAATGAACGATTATAAAAAAAAAAAAGGGGGGGGGGGGGGTGCTCTGAAGAAGTTGGCCCATTGACACACGACTCTCCTGCAGATGCTGATAGGCCAGTAACTTCCTGACTAAAGCTGGGCCCTGCCCACTCTGCTCTGTTGAAAAAAAAAAAAGTCATCACTCAATCAACTTTTACTGAAGGAGTCTGCATGCATAGAGTGGATCTTTGTGCACAATTGTGGATTGAGAAATTTTTAGCTTTGAGCATTTTATAAATTATCCCCTTTATTTACACCACTATACATTGCTACCAAAATAGGATCTGGAAAGCCTTCTTCAAAATCCTATGCCCGAAGGTCACTTCCAGGCTAGCCCTGCAACATTCGATCCAGCGGGGTCCAGTTGAGTCAATCCAAGGGCAAAGATGAAGATGGCCTGCACCAGACAGCTGCAAGTATAGCAACTGCGTCTAGCAGCGATGCAGAGCAGAATCTTGGTTAAAGGGAAAAATTAAGAAAAACAAGGAAAAGCTGGTAGGAGTAGGGCTAACCCTGGGCTAGCCTACAGTTTTTGGATGCCAATGTCCAATCCTTCTATAGGTGGCAATATAACCCAAACATAAAAGACTTTGTGGGTTTCAGAATGGCACTGCAGAACACCAACAGACTTAACAGTAATGCATGCATCAATAAATCTCACTGGTGTGAATAAGCCCTCTTACAGTAATAACATAATACAACTTATGTAGTCACTTCACTGGGTATATGTAAGGTTTTATAACCACTTTAATTGTTTCACAATACAAGCCACTAGTAGGCTTAGGGATGGCTTTGTTTTAGAGCTCTTTTAGGACCCATTTATATCAACACATTTAACGTGTGTTGCATTAGGGGAGTTGAATGGGCTACCAAAAGCAGTCCAAAAATGCATACAACTTTTTGGGCAGCACAACACAATTCACTGTATTGAAAGTGCACTGCAGCGGATCAGCCTGCATTGGCATGCACTGTGGTAATGCATATTTAATGGGCATTTAGGGAATGTGCATAAGTTGCAGAACACCAAATTTTTTTTTTCATATTTAACATTTTGGTGCCTTAGCATTAACTCAATTTTGTTTCTGAAGTGGGCCGTGAAGTTCCTATACTGCTGCCAGAACACAACAGTGTACTGTATTGAGCTGATGCTACATACAGTTTATACAACACTCACAGCGGACACATCTGTTCGTTAAGGAAATTAACTTAGTTAAGGAAAAGTTCACTGGGCCAGCATGGGCCAAACTACGTATTTTAAAGTAACAGAAATCTGGAAATTCAGCTTAAAGGCTGAGAGGGAAACATTATGCTACATAAGAATATTTTACTGCCCAATAATACACACTGAAGGATACAACGGGCAACTCCATAGTATGAAATGGCAAGCTGAATAAATACAACTACACATCTCCAAGATGTGAAGTATTACTAGATCGTCATGTTTAGATACATAAACACTATTAACCACTTGCCCTTCTGAAGATTTACCCTCCTTCATGACCAGGCCGTTTTTTGTTTTGCTATACGGCGCTACTTTAACTGACAACTGCGTAGTCATGCAATGCTGTACCCAAACTAAATTTTTATCTTAGCGCCAACAGAGCTCAAAATACAGAGCGACACAATATTTATACCCATGACCTTGTCGCGTTTTTAACGTCCCCAAAAGTTGGATGCCTTGGCAACACTGCCTATGAATACCTATCCCCACCAAGGTTAAAAAAAGAGCTAAACTCTGGAAGCTGTGCCTAAAAGGCAGGCACAGGGCAAAAGATAAGCCAGCAGTAATGCCTGTGGTCTCTCAGCTTCTGATATTTCCGCATTACTGACTTACCTTGCATTGTTCTACACGGTTTCTAGGTGTTGGCAACCATCTTGGTAGAGGTAGGACTTGGTTACTTCATGTCAGAAATTCCAGCAAGAACTGTGAGCAGCACAATAGTGACATCCCTAAACTTCACGCTAAATCTTCTAGCTGTCACAGGCAGCACTGCTTTATATCACACATAGCATACATACAGCTATGGGGGCACAGGCACAGAAATGCCTAGGTATTCTCACATACCTAGTACACGGCTATTTTTTTTATTATTACCAGAGCAAAAGGGTAATTGTTCAGGGTACTGCTTAGGCAAATTTCATATTTTTAAATAATTCCCCAATACATAGCAAATCTTCACTTTTTGCGTTCAGTTCTCTTTTAATTCACAGAATAGGCTGCATCACTCTGCACCATTCATGTACAATGCTAATCGGGACACCAGCTCCCAGAAGTTCTAAATACAGGGTAGGTCAAAAGGTATTAGACCCCTTAGCATCCAAGTTTTCTTTATGTACCAATTGGTTTATTCAGCTAGTGGTAGTACATTTTTATCTGCAACTGGGCTTAACCTTTCAGTTGGCATAGATATAAATTTGGCAGTTAGGCATTAGAAAATAATGCTACCAATTGTTCCCCAAGGCCCCTTTTTGACACAAGGCAGACTCCGCTTGTTCAGCAGGAGGATCAGCAGACAACAGAGCCAAGTGATCACTGGTCCATGTCCTCTTCATTTATGTAGAGCAGACCCAGACACAACCCAGTCTGCTCTATGGGCAGTCTGATGTGGATGGACAGGCTGTCTGTTCAAACAAGACTGCCCTTCAATCGGATCCACCCAGATGGAGGGGAACAGATCCCCTTCCATTTGTATTTGATGGATCAGATCAGAATGGAGGTAGGTGGGTGTAAACAGACAAGTCTGTTTACACTCACAGCTTCATAGAGCAGAATGGAGGGTCCGATAGAGTCCACCTGAAAAGAAAAACGGACAGGCAGACCAAATTAGTCATTCATGTGTAAGGGGCCCAACAGGCATTTACATGCAAACACAAGCATGTGTACGTGACCCATTATCAACTGCTTAATTACAGCAGACATAGAAAAAGTGAATTGCAGTGAAGATAACATTTTTCCCCTGATGCTGCAGAATGCAGTGGCAGACTAGATTACCCATAGCCAGACAGTCTTGTCATCAAATTCAAATAAAATCTCAGGACAGCAACCACCTAATATCTGTCCACCTTTAGTGTCTAGTACCTAGAACCATAACTCTTCAAGCAAGTACAAGCGCTATAACATAGTCATAAAACATTACAAAATCTGTACAAGCCATTTTACTTTTTTAAAAGAGAAGAAAAAGTTACCATTGATAAACCAAATAGTGGCCAGGGTGAAACTGAAGAAGGTCTGCGCAGCCATCACAACTTTTACCAAAACCGCAGTGAAGATAAAGAGAGACAAGATAGCCAACATGCTGCCCGCTATGCGAATCCTTTCAGAAATACTAGAAGAGAAGAAAACTGTATATAAAAAGCAGCACAGAAAGCATTGGTGGGTTAGCAAACTGATTTGAAAATCAGGCAATTCTCACTGTAAGATGAAAAAGAGAGGAAGGCACCTCCTAAGTGCAGTATTGACAATTTATTGGTGACATACAAAGAAAAAAAACTGGTCAGCTACCCAGGTTTAGAACTGGCTTTTTAAACTGAACATGGAAGGCGTCACAAAGTAAAAAATAGGACTATCCAGTTCAACTTGCCAGCCTCCCCCAGTCTAATAATGGCTATTGTCGGCAAGGAACATGGATAAGTATAACTTATCAAAAGAGGGGGATAAGAAAGCCAGTTCAAACTGCCAGCCAGTTAGCCAACTATCAAAAACCAAATAAACCTGTCTAAGAACATGCGTTTAAAAACATCCTGGGCTTTACTTTCTGATCCTATAGACAGTTTGCTGATGGATGGCTGGATGTCCCACCTGGATCCTATTACACCACACGATGAGTCTTTTTAACTATTTATCTTGCAAGTGCAATTTAACTAATTGTTCACCAATAAATTGTCAATACTGCACTTAGGAGCGCACCCTATATAATATACAAATTCTCACTTTAAGGACTCTTACAAAAAGATTGCCTGAACCTGTTCAACGTAATGCCCGGCGTATCACCTCCATCCTAGCAGCTCAGATACAGCTTACAACCTGTCATTAACATGAATGGTTGTGCACTGCTGAACAACTCATGAATCAGAATGATGAATTGCATAAAATTCTTCAAGGTAAGGACAAACTTCAAATGCGCAATTTCAGATTGAAATTTTTAGTTCCTGAATAGCAATGTTTTTGCTCATCTCCAGCTGGCATCACATATAATGTCTTAGTAGGAGTGCAAATGTAGGTCATTCAATAGATGCAACTGCTACATGGCTCCACCTGTAATGCCTTTTGCAGGTGTGATCTTCAGTTTTAACTCATTAAAGTGTATGTAAAAGGAAAAAAATTCTTATGTTTTGTACAGAGTAAGGAAGTGTTAGACCATCTGCCAATGCTGGTCTCCTACAAGCAGTGAAAGGCATTTCCTCATTCTCTTCTCAGTGCTTACGCACTGAGACTATTGCAAGACAGTTATTTTTTGTAAGATTATGAAGGTAGAGCCTGCAGCAGAACATACAGCCAAAAACATAACTTCTACTATCTTTATCTACCAAGGGTAACTTGACTGTGTCATCTATGGGTCAGCATCTTCAGAAGAAAAAGCTTACCCTGAATAATGCTTAAGCAAAAAAGGTGGCATCTACCTTCTGGGGAGAAAGGAAGATGAAGTTACGTCACTATGATCTCTTTAAGAGCTTTTAAATACCTGTAAGTGTAACACTTACATAATGTTTAGAATGCAAGGGTTTAATATGAAATATGTTTGGGGCTAGCTAGCCTTTTCTGAATACCTAATCAAGCTTAACTTTTCCCCTTCTGGTTCACTACTATATAAAAATGACAGTACTTGGAACTTAGGAAAGGATAGTAAAACTAACGCAAACCGCAAAAAAGAACAAAAAAACCCTATAAAGTCTGTAACTAGCATCTGTGCATGTCAAGAGCAAAATGTACTGTGGTTAAAGGACAACTGTGCCTTTGTTTTAAAAGCCAATATTGTAAAGGTTTTTTTTTTTTAGTTTTGGAGTGAAGAGGGATTGGAATCCCTGTCAGTGCCCCTGATAGGGAGGCTCACCCTATTTGTCCTGTCTACCATTAATGAAAGGGAAAGTAATAGAAAATACCAAATTTTGGGTTGACACAAGAACCGTATTAGAAGGGTAATCTTCCAATGGGGACTAGTTCTCATGTCCTGTTTTGGACATGGAACAAAGTGAAAGGAAATCCCCCCAACTGGACGCAAACGACAAAAAAACTCTACAGGGGTTACCCCTTACCCTTTAATGAATATCAACTAAAATGGTGGCCACTTACATGATCACTGACTGTTCAGGAACAAGTACATAAGTACTCTCCCATACTTTACAAGTCCCAACATTCAATGTCATTGATATCCACGGCTCCCTTACAAAATTTCTCATCAAAAAAACCTACAAGGCTTTCAAATTAAAAACCTCGTCTTTTACTAAAATAGTAAACAGGTGACCATCCTAAAAAAATTACACTTACCTTGGCTATGTCCAATAACCTAAATTACAATCCTTTCTATAGACTGGCCACATAGTTTGGCACATTCAATGGCATACTCATAATAGGACTTAATCTTCGTGAATGCAGCATATAAAATACTGATACAATACTCATCTCACCATTGATAAATGAATGAGTTAAGGAGTGTACAAAGCAGTAGAGGCAGCTGTGCTAGGAGGGTCATCCAGTTATTAAAATTAAATTCATCCTTCCCACTCGTTTGGTGCTCTGAATCCGATACATTCCCATTCACAGAGGAATTTTCATACAGACGGCTATGAAAATACTGAGACAAGAACATCGGTGTTAATATGTGTCATTAAACTAATCAATTCAACTATTTTAAGTTAATGGCAAAACAACATTTGCAAATACAATCAGAATGCAATGTGTAAAGCCAGCCATAGACGGACCGATCTTGGCTGGTTCAGCAGGGACCGGCTGAGATTCAGTCCATATATGGGTAACCTGGTTGCACTCAATCCATCAATCAACTTTAGTATAAACAGCCTGTCAGATTTTTTTTTTTTTTCCCAAGTGATCACTGCCCACGGCTATTGCCTCCAGCAGTGATCATTGTGTTTCGCTGGCAGAACACAATGGCGTTGTGGAAGGGATTCCCCACAGCACTGATGTGTGTTGATATTGGAATCAAGCAATTTTCTTTCCTTCCATCTGTGATGGAAGGACAGAAAATTACATAATCTTTGGGCTGTTTAAGACCAGTTTAACATAAAATTTTTGCCAATATTATATTACTTATTTCTTCATTACACCGGATTTGTGCAACAATACCTGGAAGAAACTTATAAATGAATGAGTAAAAGAATAAGAAGAGGAAAACATTTTTTTCTAATTTCTGTAGCACCCACATTAAAGCTGAAGGTGATGCTAAAAACTGGTTAAGGAAAAGAAATATTCTATTCAAGTATGTTTTGTAAAGGATAAGTTCGACATTTGGAAAAAAAATAAATGCACATTTTTTTACAGGTAAAACAAAAAAAATTTACATGCATTTTTTTTTCTTCTAAAGAGCCTGCAGAACATTGCAACCACAAACAGCAGATGACGTGTACAATGCAAGGCTCCTGCAGACTCAATGGATAGCAGTCTTCCCATACCTCCAATACAGGGCAAGCAGTTACCTGAGAGCGGGAAGATCAATGAACTAAGAGAACGCTCATCAGCACCCTTTCAGTTCATGGAGAACTACAAGCCTTCGGCTGCAATGGCTGACGGTACTTGTAGTCTATCCATTCACAGAAAACTGGATTTAATGAAGTGGCCCTGTGGACGAAGCCCCACATGGCCACGCTGTTTTCAGACTGTGAGAAGAAGATCCCAGCCCATTGTCGCAAAGAAAGGGGGCAATGGCAGCAGGAGGTGAGTATATAGGAGCCTGTTACACCCTAAATATGGGTGTAACATGTAACGTGTCTAAAGGTGAACTTATCCTTTAACTCAAAAATGTAACTTCTATTGTCAGCCTCCTCCAAATTTTTATTTATGTATTGCTGCCGTGAGCCGACTTCCTGTTCCAGGGTGTTAGTTCCTTATGGTTCTTCTGTATGCTGGAATGTAGCCACCCTCTCTTGTTCACTCCTTAGATGGACTAGGGACTATGGGAATTATAATGTGAATAGAGCAGTGCACATGACTGCAACTAACATGCACTATTCATTCCAAACAAATGGAAAATGAGAGGTTTGGGGGCTCATAGAGGCAGAAACACTGTGCAGCTTGCCAGCCCTTAGATGTGATGGCTGCATTACTTTACTTGTTTAAGGCTTTTTTCCTGTAATTTTTACCTGGTGGTCCTGTCAGCAACACATGGGGGTTGATTTACTAAGGGCAAATAGGCTGTGCACTGAAAGTGAAGTTGCTCTAGATCTGAGGGGGAACATGCAAGGAAAAAAAAAAAATATTGGATGAAAGAAATCGGCAGAGCTTTGCCTCATTTCAGAGTTTTCCCTCAGATATACAGCAACTGCAGGTGCACTTGCAGTGCACAGTATAGTTATCTTTAATAAATCAACCCTGTTGTCCTAGTATGAAAATGCTCACATACTGATCTACAAAGGAGCAGTGCATTGGGTGGGGTAGTTATTCTGGGATATAAAGGTGAACTGGGCAGGGCTGCTAATGTTTTGGATGTCAGTGCAGCACAAGCATAATTTACAGATCACTACAAGCTCACTGTATTTTTTGCAAGATCAAAAAGGTATATTCATATACTTGTAGTATTTTAAAAAGAGACAATATACAGGGAAATGTTCATGTATTGATAATATGTACCAAATACGTTTGTCTTTTACCTATACATACAATTTAAGTCCTAGGTGTAGAATGTTATTTATAAATGTATGTTGCAACTGAGTCCGAGCAGTACCTGGCTTCCTCTATGACTTGTCAAATCTGGTAATTTCTCTTAGTAATATAATAAACCTTGATTACTCAGTACAGCAATACATAGTGTGAATATAGGGCTTTAAGATTTCTAAATAAAAAAAAAAAAAAAAAAAAACAACATTTTTTAAGACAAGTTTTTAAAAGATTCATGCATTACTGCTTCAAACTGAAAAAGTTGATCTCTCAAAACCTATCCTGCAAAACAGTGTAAATACAAAACCACATATCATACTTTACTGCTACTAGTGGACTTAGGCTGCATTCACACTACCAGTTTAAACCAAAACCTTCCAGTTCCTTCTCAGTCCCTGCGAGATGACCATGGAATGCCTCCGTAGCAAATAGTAACCTTTATGCCACCACTTTTCACGATCCTTGAGGTCTTAAACTACTTAATTCCAGTATCAGTAATGCTCAGAGAAATACATTAACAGAATTCATACCAAATTTCAGCTACAGGTGAGATCTGAGGCAAGCACTCTTACTCTGGGCAAAGCATGAGAGCTGTAAAAGTGGTCTGCAGTAGCTGGAACTCTGATTACACTAGAATGTGTTTTTAAGTGCAAACCTTAAAATATATCAGTTTACATTACACAGAGATAACCGAATACTGCCATATTTAATTTAGCAATAACTAATTTTGTAAATATGATAAACACAGGTAAACTCACTGGAATAGCTGTGATAAAGAAGTTCCATGGCAACAGAGTTCCAAGCCCCAGGATAAAGCAAATGATCCTGACTAAGTAGGCCCTGTGTAGGAAAAAAATAATTATTAACCATTTATGTGAGTTCCTTAAGGAGTTATGATAAATAAGGAAAAGTAATAAATCTGTAACTGATTTAAACCATTTGCATGTGAGATCTTCATAAGGCAAGATGTGTAGAAAAAAAAAACAAGTATGACAGGGATTGGGATGAACTATGCCAACATTGCCAGGTGTACTTCAAGTGGTCACCTTTAATTCACATGGTCATACTGGGGGCCATCTTCTAAACCTTTAACCTATTGTTGGGACAGAGTATATAAACTAATTAGCAATGTATAAATAAGATCTGTCTGCCCAGTACAGACAAGGGTAATTAGTAAGATTTTTCAGTGCTGGAACTTCCAAAACAGGAGCTCTAACAATAGCAAACTGCAATTTAAGTTATGCCATGTGAATACTGTAAATACATGTAACAAATACTGTAGAATGTATGTGTTATCCCAATTTAGTTGCAAAAGTGGAAACCCACTTTAGGTGAGCAAATAAATATATCCCATGAACTGAGAGTTAAAGTTCCCTATATCTAAATTAGCCTACACCCAAACAGTGCCAAGTCAGACTATTTAAATACAGGATAGATTACTTCCGGGCTGAGTGCTCCCATCAAAACACAGCAGTAATGCAAGGCTTCCAGCGCAATGGAACATGGTGACATAAGGGGTTACTGATGTCCTGCTCAGGCTGACTGATGTTTGCAGCACCAACAGTCAAGGTCACAAATCAGGAATTAAATTTGTTCAAGGTGCAAGAAAATAAATGACATGTTTTTTTCTTTTAACCACAAAACAAAGCGAACTGGTTTATCCAGAATCTGTTACTTGTTCTACAGTAATACAAGCAAGCCATTCAAAGCAGAAACGCACTGCTGGATGGCTATTTGGAACGGGACACAGTCTAGGAGGAAAACCTTGAGGATTGAGAAAGTAGATTAAGAGGGACGGTTATTAAAAAGAAAAAAACAGAATACATGAAAAGCAAGGAAGAAACAGAAGATGTGAACAGCAGTGAAACAGCCACTTACTTGTCCTGCGGCTCATCCTTACGAGACATCTTGCAATTTCTGTTCTCTGGATGCTGGAGAGTCTTGCCTATTAAGCTGGAAAGGCTGTCAGAAGAGGAGGAGAAAAGACCATCACGTGGGTATTTTCTAAACCCTGGAAGTGACAATAATAGGCCTGGCTGTATCCAGCTCCTCCCTGTGTGCTTCCCTAAATATTCCTCCCTGTGCAGCCTCCCCTCCTCCTTTACAAACCTGCGAGTCCCTTCTGTGCTGCACATTTCATTACTTTCCATGCTGCCATAATCCCGATTTGTATTTCCCTTAACAAGGATTCCTATTTTCTCTAAAATCTGCCCTGTCTCATTCTAACAGAAAGCTGATAGCTTTTAACTCCCTAACCCTACTTAAATTCTCACCGGTATCAACCTGGCACATCCCCTTTCTCCAATACACACCTGATGATGAATTGGATGTACAATATCCTGCAATTTGCATGACAAAAGAGTTCCACCTGTGAAAAAAATGGCTTGTATTTCTCAGATGCATACAAATACAGAAAAATCAAGGCAGATACAAAATGTAGAAAGTACACATGGAAAATGTGCGTCTTTGTATGTCTAACTTTTAAACCAGATTTAAGATGACACAGGGAATTCTGCTAGTCTTGTAGTAACCTTAACAAATTCATTTTTAACAGCTTAATTGACAAACAAGTAAGCTCTGTTACTGTACAAGTTGATTAGTGAATTACATTTACTTGCTGGTCCCTGCACACTACAGCTATGCACATTTCCGAAGACAAAAAAAACTTTCTTCGTTAAACTAACAATAATTTCACCCTTCCTAATTCAATTTCCCACATTTAAAGCAACATATAATTTATAAAGTGGTGAATGTGAAATGCACAGCAGATGAATTAGTCACTGTACTTTAAAACACATCAGCTGGAAGGTAGACTTGCAAGGAAGTTTACTGAAGGTAACATTTAGTGCTTTGTAAATATACACAAGTCTTGGGGTTCATTCACACCCCTACACGTGTGTTGCATTACGATGAATTGCATTTTTTGTAACGCATTGGCATGCGTTTTATGCAGGTTACATTTGTTTTCTTGTCTTGCAGAGTGTTGCGTTTCTCTGTGCACATTAGTGTGCATTTTAATGTGTTTGCACTGAAAAAAAGTAGTGCATGCTGTACTTTTTCAACACTGGGCAAATGCAATGCAGCACAACACACTGGTGTGAAAGGCATTCATAAGGTACCATTATTTTTTGGTTGCTATGCACTGGGGATGCGCTCACAAATGCGCACCAGAGTATCTGGTCTGAATGAACCCTTAGGGCTAAAACGCAGCCACTGGTGTGTGGTAGGATAAAAGCAGTGTCAATGTGCCAATTCTGGAACATTGCACGGTTTACTTTAAAACAAACTTTATTGAAATGTTCTTTAACCACTTGCCCGCCTAAGGATTTACCCCCCCCTTCCTGACCAGGCCTTTTGTTTGCTATTCGGCGCTGCACTATTTCAACTGGTAATTGCGTGGTCATGCAATGCTGTACCCAAAACGAAGTTTACGTCCTTTTTTTCACACAAATAGAAATTTCTTTAGGTGCTATTTGATCACCTGTGCACTTTTTATTTTTTGTGCTATAAACAGAAAAAGACTGAACATTTTTAAGAAAAACCAATATTTTTTACTTTCGGCAATATAAAAAATATATAGTAAACTCAAAGTTAGTCATAAATTCAGGCCAAATGTATTCTGCTACGTTTATGGTTAAAAAATCCCAATAAGTGTATATTGATTGCTTTGTGTGAAAGAAACTATCAGTTTTGGAGGCCCTGAAATGCCAGGATAGCACCAACCCCCCCCCCCCCATAAATTACCCCTTTTTTGGAAAGTAGACACCAAGAAATTTAAAAAGAGGCACGGTGAATATTTTACAGATCTCATTTTTTTCTCACAAGGTTTTAAAATATATAAAAAAAAAAGTTTTTAATCTTTCTTCATTTTTCAAAAACTTGTGGCAACAAACAAGATCTGAAAAATACTCTCCATGCTTCTCAAATGCCCTGGGGTGTCTACTTTCCAAAAAGGGTTATTTGGGGGGGTGTTTGGTGCTATCCTGGCATTTCAGGGCCTCTAAAAATGTGATAGGTAGTCAAAAAGTGTAATGAGGAAATAAAGCCCTTTAAAGGTCTGAAGGTGCATATTGGATTTTGGGGTCCTGTACTTGGCTAGACTGCCAAAAAGTCTCATGTGGTACCCCCATACTCGGGAGAAGTAGCAGAATGTATTTGGGGAGTAATTCTACATATACCCATGGCATGTGTGAACAATAAATCATTTAAGTGACAATTTTTTTTTTTGTCATTTTTCAAAAACTTGTGGTAAAAAAATAAATTCTTCTATTGATTCAACATGCTTCTCAGCAAATAGTTTGGGGTGTCTACTTTCCAAAAAGGGGTCGTTTTGGGGGGGTGGGGGCATTTTATGTCCAACATTAGAAGTTTATGCCACACATCACTCCGTTTTCTAACCACCTGAAGACCAAACGTTTTCTGACTTTTTGTTCAAAATCAGTATTTTTTGCTAGGAAATTATTTTGAACCCCCAAACATTATATATTTTTAAAGCAGACACCCTAGTGAATAAAATGGTGGGTGCTGCAATTTTTTATGTCACATAGTACTCGCGCAGCGATTTTTCAAACGCAATTTAAAAAAACAACAAAAAACACTTTTTTTTTTTTTACTTTTGCACAAAAACACAATATATTGGCCAATTATTTGGTAAAATACAAAAGATCTTTTTTTTTTAATGCAGCCTATGGGCTGAAAGGAAAAAAAAAGAGAAGAAATCTCTCCCAGCAAAAGTGTGTGGTATGCCCACCAGTAGAATATACCGCACTGCATCCACCCATTTCTAATGATGGGCACACGTGAAACACGCCAAAAAATATTATAAAATATATATGCTGAAGCATAGGGGCCATCCACCCACTGGCCACCCCAGGCTCCCATGCTTCGGCATATATGCTCTTTTTTTAACTGCGGATGAACAATCTCATCCAACAGCACTGCACACACTGATTTATGTATATTGTGAGAGTAAGACCCTGTTGCTGTCAGAATAAACAAGTCAGTGCTGCAGCTGAATGACATCCTCATTTCTCAAGCAGCCTTTTTCCCCCTTTCTAAGATGGGTATTTACAAGCCATTAGGGGAAGCCCTGGTGATTAGGCTGCACAGTGCCACATGCGTCAATTCCAAGATTTTACAATTGTCTAAATAGTGGCACGCTTTAATAAACATTGTATAAGTGGTACCCCATATGGAAAAAGGATCACAGCAAGTCCCAAACTGTCTTGCCACTGCTCCCCATGTAGTCCGGGCATCCGGGGGGCTCCACATGATCTTTTCCCTCACAAATCCGAAACTTGTATGTATAGCCTGTTGCCCTCTCTCAGGTCTTGTACATCTTGACCCCATATCTGGCACGCTTGCTGGGGAGAAATTATTTGAATGCAAGGCGGCCAGAAAAATGAATGAGGGACTCATCAACGCAGATGTTTTGCTGGGGAGTATAGACATCTGCAAATTTTTGGTTAAGGTGATTTACGAGGGGCCGAATTTTGTGGAGCCGGTCAAATTCAAAGTCACCCCAGAGGACGACAGAGTGTGTTGTCACTGAAATGCATAAAACACATTATGCTCTCAAATCTATGCCTGGCCATGGCAGCAGAGAACACTGCATATGATGAATCAGGTCTGTGGACCAATACAACCGCAATTCCTTTTTTTTTAGTAATGCCCATATTGAGGGTTAGGCCCAAAAAAAATTTAAATTTGGAAACCGTAATGGGTTTCAATGAGCTACCAATTGGGATTTGCAAGCACCTACAGGATACTAGGGGCTCTATGGGCCTGTGTACGAATTCTTGGTGGTTGTGCTTGTCACTGAACCAGCTTGTAC